GAAGTAGCATTTTACAGTGACCCAAGAGAGCTGTGAATTGAGTTCTGTTCCAAGCCCTGTCTTGGACTTGCTGTGAATTTAGGAAAGTCCTTTCACAACGTTTGCTGTTTATCGAAATACTCAGGTTGCTGAAGCCTTTCAGATTACTAGCTGAGTATGTCAACATTTTGCAAGGCGTTATTAAAGAAATACAGGATCCCTTTATTTTTCAAACCTCCTTGTTATATAAGGAGACACAATACGGTCGCTTTTTTGGGTGTTTCTCAGAAATGGAAAATGGTGGTTTTGCTGTTGTCATAAGGTGGAACCCAGCGCCTGCCCAGATGTGTTGGAATAGGTCTTGCAAAGGAACTCATTTTCACTGGCAGACAGATTGATGGACAACAAGCCTTCTCCATGGGATTAGTAAATCACACAGTGCCACAAAACAACGAGGGAGATGCAGCTTACCAGAGAGCACTGACTTTGGCTAAAGAAATCCTTCCTCAGGTAAGTGCAGTATTCCTGGGGTCAATACAAAGAAGGCGTTTCTGCTTCCCTTAAGAGAGAGCAAACAAATAATTGAAATTCCTTTCTATGAAATTAATATTAAAGTCTTGATTCCTGATATTTAAGTCTCTTGAGTCTGGCCTTTTTTGCAAATGCAGTTTCTGTAGGAACAAGCCTTAACACCCAGCTGCTCTAACCCGTAGGACAGTTTTACCTCCTAGCTGCGGTTATGCAGGCCTGTAGGACACATTCAGACCTGGCCCTGTGTGCACCTGTTAACTGTAGATAATGCCAACTTGTTTTTTAAAAACACACATTAACTTAATGCAAATTTCTATAGGCTAAAAGGTAATTTGGAGGTAGGATAATGATATAACAAGTATGCTACTATGAACTGCTGTGGCTTGAATTATTTTTAAATGTTTGTTGTGGTTTGTTTTTTGTGTGTGTTGTTTTTTGTTTTTTAATAAAGGCTCCATTTGCTGTGAAAATGGGAAAACTGGCAATAAACAGAGGAATGGAGGTAAGTTTGCTTTTTTTTTTTTAAATACTGAGGTAAATGAAGCAGACAGGCAGCTTTCACAAATTACTACAGTAATTTTACAAATTACTACAGTAAAAGTGTTTAGAGCAGATGAATTACAACCCTTGTTTAGACAAGGCATTTAAAACCATTTCAGGTGTTTTAAAGATTTTCTTTAAAGACAAAATTAATATTGCAGGAGATGCTAACACTGTAGTTGTAATACAGAGTGAATATTTATTGATTTGAGGGTTATGAAGTAGTTTTGAGGTCAAAAAACTCACAAATCTCACTCGTTGCCTCTCATCCCCAGGTTGACATTGCGTCAGGGATGGCTATTGAGGGGATGTGTTATGCCCAGGTAGGTTACCTCCAGAATACATTCCTGAACAGAACACCTGTACACTTTCTAAAGCCAGGGTATTCACAGCAGTCCTCTTCTGTTTTCCTCTCTACAAGGGAACACTGACAGCTAAATCCAAAGCTTTGAGAACACACTCGAGTGCAGTTCCAGATTTCTATTTCAGAATATGAACTGGTGTGTCATGCATAGCTGCCTCTCTCAGCCTGCCTGAGACCAAAGTCCTTCCTTTAAATACCTTTCTGTCTAAAGTCATTGTATATTCTTAGCTTCAACAATATGTTAATTATAGGATGAGCTTTACAAAGGGTTTTAGTTCTAAAAAAAATGAAAAAGATTCCTCGTGCAGTCATTCTTTCTGACAAGTTTTGAGAGCACACACCTTCCTCAGCTAATGGAACGATGTAACTGCTGTGCCTCTCAGTGTATTTTAAGATGGTAAAGTATTAAGTTTATGGAAAACTGTTTTCCTGTATTGTTCTCTAGTCTATGGCCTTTATCTTAGACATGTCGCTTGTGATTAATGCTACAACCCACTATTTTCCTAATTGCAAACCGTGGAAGGTGGGACTGAAATGCACCATTGAAAGAAAAGCAATCTTAGTCTTATCTTAGACCACTACTGCCCAGTTAGTCAGTACTTTAACATATCAGCCTTGTCAATGAAAAATGAAAGACATACCTTTTTTTTTTTTCTCTTTCTTTTACATGTAGAATATTCCCACGAGGGACCGTCAGGAAGGGATGGCTGCCTTCAGGGAGAAACGGCCGCCTCAGTTTATTGGCAAATAGCACTTCCGAGCTTCCCCTTGATTTTTTGAAGGTAAAGAAGGACTGAAGAGGACCCACGGATTTCTGGGGATTATTTTTATGACTGCACTCTGTGTACTTAGCTCCGTGCCTCGGACTGCATTTCTGAATACTCCACTGGATCATTTTGCTGTTAAGAATTCCCAAATAAAGATTTAACTTTGTACAGCTGATCTTTTTACAGAGCATACAGCTTAAGTCAGTGGTTATGGTTCTCAAACAGAGGTCAAGTAAGGAATATGGCAAAGCTTTGGCTTACCATGAGCAAATTAAAAAAACACAACAAACCCAACCCACAGAAACCATGCTGCATTAATAAGAAAAAAAATTCACTCTGAAGAGAAAGTTAACTTACTTGCTTCCCACTATCAGTGCTCTTCCAACTAATGAGACAGAACTAGCAGTATGAACGCAGAGCAATGGTGTTTCATGCCAGCTCTGCTGTGAATAGTGCAAACACCGAGCCATCGCTCCAGCCAACTCAACTCACATCTCTGGTATCAGTGCTTGAGAAAATGCAGTGCCTGTTTGTGCACATACATACAGCCACCATATCAGTCTATGCTGGACATCTCAGACCTGTCACCTCTCACCCATCACCTGTCTGCTGTTGTCTGACTGGAAGTTGAATTTTTTTTTTTTCCTCCCTCTAGTTAGAGGTTCTCTAGCCCTGAGATGTGCCACACAATTTAGCTCTGCTGGGGCTTTCAAGCAAAAGTGAATTAGTATATTTAGAGAAATGTATTTTTAGTAAATACTATAGATAATAAAAATATACTTACAGAACATGGCTTACCACACTGGAACTGGGCATCGCTTCATGCTGTGATAGTCTCAAAGCAAACCACAATTTCACTTGTTAACTGAACAATTCTGTGGGTGAGGTAACCTTACCAGAATATATACGTACAAGCTTCCTAGGTAAAGATCTGCATAGGTAAAGCAAAGTCACGATCTTCAGCCTTCACAAAAAATACAGCAAATGTCACAGGCGAAATACAAGAGTTTAAAATCTGCTTCCAGAATTATTCTACCCTGGCAGGAACTCCTGAAGCTGCACAGGAATGTGAAGAGACCTTTCTGTGACTGGCACACACAAGTAAGTGTAGTGGATTTATACCTTGTAGGCATTCATGCTTTTCAGCTTAAGAGAGTTCTGCTCCCTGTTTGTTTGCCTGAAGCATGTGGGAACAAACCAAGAAGGGTATGGAAAAATCATTTACAATCTCTGTGTTTGCTGGCTGCAGAACTTAATGAAGTGGCATCTTTACCATAGTGGTGCCAGTATCACATTCATTTTGTGCTGCATGTAATACTAGATTTTTTTTTTTCCCTACAGTTTTAGTTAAGATGCTTCAGCAAGTTCTCCTGTTATTAGGAAAAACCAGTACTGTGAGGAGAGTTGTCATGTTTATTTTAAAATCTTGTAGCAATTGATTTATATTCATTCTATTAACACAATTTTGACAAGTTTTGTGTTCCATTTCATATAACAGAAGTTTCATAGCTGAAGTCCCCTAGCAGACATCGCGGAAGGGAAGCTGGTAAGGGCTTGCAGGCCATTTTTTCATTTTTTAAATCACTTTCATAATTCAAAACTACAACAAATTTCATCTCTTTCTGAATCAAGAAAGCTGTATATAACCAGAAACAGACATCAAAATTACGCTAGCCAAATTATACCTTTGTACAAAAGGCCATTACATAACATCAATTAAATTACTAGATCAGTACCTTCTGAAGTTGCTGAAATACACAGTAACTAGATTATTGAAGATTAGAGGTGATGTTTTTATTTGAAGGATGGGAGTTGGGAGAGGGAAGGAGTTAAAAATAGTAAAATATGGTCATCATGAAGAAGCCATCCCTGCTAGTGAGCTACCAAACATAAGTCTTTTTAAACTCCATTACCAATATATTTACAGAAGTCTGAATATCAATCAGTTGCCATGGAAATATGGAGACTAACCAGATAAACAGAAACAATACCCAAAATAAAACTGAATTTGAACAGACATGCAGTTTGCTTCCGTCACTTGTATTTTATCAGGCATCGGTATGCTGTGCAATATGTTTCATTCAACACATCATTTGAAACCCATAAGTAGCCAAGAAAGAAAGAAGTTGTCACAATTAGCATCTTTATGTAAAATTTCACACTCCACAAAACACACAGGGGCTTACACACACGGGGCTTACATAGAACGTTGAGTGATATTTTGCACTGTGATGACTTGGAAATATAATTCACTGCACAATACTGACAGAATATTTACAGAAAACAGCAATCGTTAGTCTCTTATAAATAAGGTGACCAAATACTCTGCGCCTCCTATCAAGACACGCAATCCCCTTCACCATGAAGGCAGGTCAGTATTTTGCTCTACTGACCCTTCTCCTTTCCCTATCAGTGTTCTAAAATGAAAGATATCACACACAACCAAAAGTAGTCAAACAACAAAACCCCCTTGTTATTATCAAGATTAAAATCTCAAGCTCAGTTCATCGTTTTAGCGTTGTGTCTCCTTTGAATCCTGTTTCTATTGCTTTACTTGAGCAGGTTTCCCCTTTCCCTGATGCAATGCCAATCCCCACCTTACTAAGAGTAGGGAGGGCTGAGGAGGCTTTACTTGAGCAGGTTTCCCCTTTCCCTGAGGAAAGCTGAACTACAAAAAGGTGTTGTTCTAGCAGTAAGGAAAACAAAAGAACACAGCTTGCAGGCAAAAGGAAAAGAAAGCTGAAGACCCCACTTGTGTTTAGAAGGGTTATGAGACAATGGACATTCTGGTCGCCTTAGTTACAAGTCTCATTGTAACCTGCATGCAATGTACTTTTAATCTGGAAAAAGTGCCGAATCTCACAACCACACACAGTTCTATTCAAACACCAAACTGGTAAACAGTGTAGTGAAGAGCAGCCATAGGGATGAAATAACTCCCTCCCAGAAGTCACAAAACAAGATACTCCCAGAAGTCTTTTTCAGATGTGCATGTTGATCTGTACAAGTCCCATCTCCTTGTAGCCAGCAGTAACCCCGCAGGTGTGACCAGCTCAAGCAGTGACCCTTTACAAGTTGCATATGCGGTTCCCATTAAAGCTGATGTTCACCAAAGGTACCGTACATGGTTCTGGGTACCACAATTATTGGCAAATCACTTTAATGGTGACCACTATATTACAAGTTACTCCAACTACACACACATCAGAAAGGACTATTACAGAGATAATATTTTACACTCCTATACCTGCAGCTTTCAGTTTGGTTTATTTTGTTGCTGTTTTCTACATGGAGGTGGTCTCCCATGACGCATAATGTGTTTTTCCAGACTATCTAGGATGGCAATAGCAATCCTTTGGACATGTGGATCAGTCTGGACGTTTTCCTTGATGTTGTATAAGTGCTGTAAACCACCCTCTTCAATTAACATGCTGCAGTACCTGGCAGCTGCAATAAAATTTAAAAAAGGGAATTAAAAAAAAAATTACCTAGAGTAAATGTAGCAGAGACTGTAAACACTGATTCAAAGCCACTTTTGTCTCCCAGACCAGGCAGCATTTAGGACACTCCCTAAAGTGTCCACCTAAGTGCATTTGTACTTTAACAAGTGACAACAACAGAGTTGTTTGGACAGGACTCTGATTGCAATCTGGTCTGTTTCCACCTCTGTCTTAGCTGACTGGAAACTGCTCTGTAATATGCACAGTATTCTCGCTCCCCCCCCCGCCTCCTCTGCAGGCATTTTAAGTGTACACATATACATTTTAAGAAATGGGAATCAGAAGTACTATAGTATCTATGAGTACCCAGGTAAAAATATCACTTTTACCAAATACCTTGGTACAGAACAGTTACCAAAAAATAGTATCAGGTATATTATGTCATTTGTACAGGCCTGTAAAGTGAACAGGAACTAGTTCCTTCAAAAACGTTTGCCAAATACTGTTGATGGTGGCCGATATAAGTTGCTATGAATGCCTCTGCAGGGATAAAATACTTTCCACTTTCAGTATCAGTTTTAAAAAGTTGAGAGCACACCTACATTAGCTCCAGCGCTATTACATGCGGGGACCATCTATAAAAAAAAGAGCCTTATGTTTAACGTAACATGTACGCTTCAGAAGTTGTTACAGAAAGGTCAGGATCATGTGATCCACAGAGCATCACCTCAGATGGCCCCGAGTTCACCATTCATCTTGGTGAAGCAACACCAGAGGGGTTTAAATGCTGACATTAAGCATGTAGCTGAGGATCACATTTACTGCAGTGCTACTAATATTTTAGTTATGTTAGCTCATTGAGGTGGATATGATACAGAGAAACAGCAAAGGAGAAAAAAAAATAAACAAGAAAAATCAATCCCATTAATTCCAGACTATTTTTTCTCCTTCATCTGAAAAAGAAAGTCAAAGTAAAGTGCCTCTCCTCTCCAGGACAAAAAGTCTTCTTGGTGCCAAGCACCAAAAGCTGAAGATCTTCCCCCCAAATAAATCTCCTTATTTCTCAATTAAACAAGTTTTCCCTCAGAGTAGGTTATTAAATTTGCTACTAAACATTTGGTTTCTCTTCAAATTTGTCCAGAAGCTTCTGGCACCAACTACCATCATAACTAAACTTCAGGAATACTGTCTTGATCTTGAATCAGAAGTACACCATCCAAATATTTCCAGCCTCTCCTCCATTCTACAGAGCACTGTCAATACAAACCTCTGTGGCATGTTGAAAGCCCAGAGGTTAAGGCAGCACAAAGTAAATACTAAAAATAAATAGAACAAATAGGATCATACTAAGTTAAGAGGGCTGAGGCACAAAGAAGGGGAGAAAGTGCTTTAATTTAATTAACAAAGAATTACAGGGTCTTAATTAAAAAATATTATCTAGAACCTGATCAGTAAAAAAAACTCTGTCAGAACAGTCCTACTTCAACATGGGAAAAGTCCTCACAGATCTCTGGACAGTGTACCCTGGGAACAGTACCTCAGTACAGTCAGGAGCTCTATAAAGAGCAGGAAAACAGTACTTTACATGCAATTACATTTTATGCCATATTATTGTTTGGTTCTGAATAGATGTCTTTTCACTGCAGAAACAGTGATTTATGGGACAGGGATAAACAAACATAGATACACTGCTGTCATGAAGATTAAAAAACTGCCACAGAAAATACTTTTAATACTTTAGAGGAAAGCTGCTTTATATCTGGTAGAAGTTAATGAAGACACACATGTTCACATCACACAAGTTTATATTAAAAAAAAAGACATTTAAAAGCCAGTCTTACACTTAGGTATGCTCAGGGGATTTACTTCCTTTCCCAGCACTTGGGCATTTCATCACATGGTCTCAAATCATTTTATAAACAAGACATTGGCATTCTCATTTTGCAGATGGGAAAGACAGATTAAGAAACTGACCTTCACGTCACAGCAAGTAATTGCAAAAAGGCGATTAGAGACAAGGATTACCTAAAACTTCTGTTCTAACATTAAGAGGTAGCTATCTGCTACAATCATTTTTCTTAACTTAAAATAAGTTTGTTGCCCATTATTAATATTTACATTCTGAATAAAAACACCTGTGTAAGACAAAAATGTAGCTAATCTTAACAAATGTCCACATTTTGGAATTAATACTGTGCATTTAAATGTAAAATTCCAGTAAATAAAAAGAGTATAAAGAACTTTATTATTACTCTCCTTCCCTGCCTCATTTAGTCAAAGCCTAAATGTAGTTTCTCCAGAGGATTAGGAGTGAATACCATAGGAATTATTATTTTTCCCACTTTATGCTAGTGAATAGTATGCTAAGAAATAAGTTTTTTAAAGGGTAATATTATCTTAATACATACGATTTTTGCTGCAGACGTGCTGCATGGCCCAAACTGCCCATAATTGAACACCAGGTGTCATGAAACATCCAAGTAGTGGAAAAAACGGATTGAAAGACCTATAAAAGAAGAGAAGAACAGCTACTCTTTACAACGAGGTAGTATTACTTCAGAGGTCACATGTCTACTCATTCAGCTACAGGTTTAACTTGGAGGGACACTTGAAAACTAGTGTTTTAGATGCAGCAAGTGAGCTTTTTAATGTTTAAGACAACTACTAGCAAAAATCATATATAGTGGATATGTGGTATGCTTTTACCAGAGCATTTGGATGCCTCTTGCTCTTTAAAAAACAGGAGTAAAAACAGTGGAAATTATTATAAAGATTAGATGAACAGCAATTATCCAATTGCACTTTTTGACCCCAAGCTTCTTTATTTAGGACAGATCATGCTAACCTAGTGCTAGCCAATATAACCTTACTGGCTAATCTTTGCCTCTAAGTCTTTTAGACGTGCAGCTGAACAGCTTCAGTAGAAAAGCAGGCAGACCAACTTTTCTTTTTTTTTTTTTTTAACAAGAGTCCCTAACTTTTGGTCACAAAGGGAAAATTAACACACTGTATATTTTAAGCCGACTGGTGTTTTTCCACTGGACAAAACCATGTCTGGCTAGCAGTTCACCCTCCTTTGGGAACAAGTTTTAAACCCAGTTCAGTTTATTTTCCAAACTCAAGACAATAGTTACCTGTAAGCCACCATCTCACATTCTGGGGTTGGCCAATTCAAAATGGCAGAATGCTGCAAAATACAGAACCAAGAACACTCATTGTTAAATACAAACACTGAAAAAAGATAAGAGAGTATGATAAAATTCACCATTATTTCTGTACCAGCTGTTCAAGGAGAGATGTCCTCTGGCTGCGACTTAATGTCCAGGCCTGCTCTCCTCGAGATATCAAATGAGCAATAATCCCTGCTGCAAAGTAGCTAACTTCCACCTCCACACTGTGCAATAATTTACTGATGTGGTCTATAAAGTCCTTCCACATTAATTCAGAATGGAGTTCTTTAACTTCAGCTATGTTATTCTGGAAGGGGGGGAGAAAAGAGAAAATATGAACAGAAGCAATATAATATGAAGGAGATAAACATATAAACTTGAACTACATTGTGTAAGTAAACACGTATAAACATCAGGACAAGATTTTCATACATCCAGGTGACCACCAGGTACCAAAATATTACTTTTGCTTTTGAAAACTTTTCCAAGTCTAATGCAGGAATTTATCTCAAAACAAAGAGGTTTTCTCATAAGTAATTTTAGGCCACTAGCATGCAAATTACACAAAATTAAAGGCTAGTTTTAACATTCTCAAACACATTCAATTTCAGTAGGCTTCAGCAGTGCACAGTTCTGAATTCCATTGATTGTCAATTTACTTTTTGCATTTGGACTCATCTGAAACCTCACTCACTGCCCTTTCTTAAAAGCTCTTTTTGTTCACTGTAACCACCAATTTCAATATAACTAGTGCTTTTGGAGAATTGGTAAAACAGCCTAAAACAATGTCTATTGTGAATAACGCAGACTATAAAGATTAAAGAAGAACACTAAAATATTAAGCAAGTTTTCAGATTAACATGGAGTTAAAAAAAAAAATGTCCATCTCACCAGAAGTCCAAGAACTTTCTGTTGGATGGATGATTCAGATGGAAAAGACTGTGGAAACAAGAAACAAACTATAAGTAACCATTTATGCTTATTATTGAAACAATGTTAATTGTAAACATATGTTGATAATTCACCACCAAAACTGTTGTTCTCACCTCTAAGACTCTCATGAAAAGTTCTAGCCCTTGATTTTCAATGAAGTGCCGACATGTTGTTGGAGATTCATCAGTGAGGTTCCAAAGTGCACTCAGTGTGAACTTGAGGGTAGTATCTACAAGATTCTGATTTGTTTTTTGTTTAACTATTTGTAAAAGTTGCTGGAAATAAAAAATAATCCAAAAATCCCAGTTATGATTGCATATCAAAAAAATGTATTAGGTCCTCTGCTTCTTTCTGCATTGACTGGGGTAATGCATACCTATCATTTATATGCAGAGTAAAGATCTACATGTTTAGGGTCAAACTTTACAAAATAAAATAGCTGTTAAACTTTTTACCTCCCCTTTGAACATGATTGCCCACTAGAGGAATTCCTTTGTTTTCATCATAATTACACATGTGGTACTATTACGGATGGCACAAAGCCATCTGTAAAACTCTGGACCTCATGTGAACACTGACAGCACTAACTCTTTACTTCAAACATTCTCTTTTTTTAGCATGTTTTTGTCTTATACAATGGATTTCAAATCAAGAGATCTCTTGCTGTTTTACTTTGTATTAATTGTGTCAAGTTTTTCCACTTTGGCTTCTTTTCATCTATACTATTATGTCTCACTGCCACTGTCTCGGATATTACCTCTAACAAATTCTCTACGCTTTTCTGTCCTAAAGAACTTTCAAATGAATACAAGTTAATGTGTTCTTGGAACTCTACCTATTTATGTTTATTTTATATCTTTAGGAATACTGTTAGCATGCATAGCTAGAGAGGATGGTATATATTCCTGACTGTCAGGAAAGTATTTGACTTACCCTAACAATGAAGAGCTCTGCGCCAAGTTGAGCCGTTTGCTCTGTTGAAAGCTGTAAAGAAACAAAACCACATCAACAGTTTTTTTTAGACTTCAGAAACATTATCTGATCATCTCAAAGTTTAAATTTCATACCTTTGCAGCAAGAATAGAAATTATGGCTACAGCCATCCTTTGCATGTTTTGATCTTCGTGATTACACAGCCACTGCATAACAAGTTTGGCTGCTTCAAACCTGGAAGTTAAAATAAATTTAATTTTCATAAGTCTCATAAGTCTTAGTAAAGATGTATACAGACAACACAGCAGATATAAATGCATCCAATACAAAAGAAACCAGGAGAAACACACCTAATATCAAAAGGTACACAGTGAAATTACAAGTACTGCATGAGGCTCAATCAGCTTCAAGCTGTTTCCTTAGGGTCTCTTACTTCTAATTATATATCAAAGTGCACAGGAATTGCTTCCAATGAAGGAAGAAAAATTTGGCACAACCTGCTGAAACATCAGACCAATGCACTTCAAAGCATTTGGACAAAACGTGTAAGGAGAAAAATCTCTGCAAAAAGCAACCCCAGAGTTCCCCAGAGAAATCCTGACTTCGGTTGCATGCAATTAGTGATAGACCCATCTAGGTGAAGTAAAAACCACTTCTATGCCAAAGGATTTTTTTCAGACCTGAATTCAAAACAGTTGTGAACTACAGGCCCAAAGTACTACAGGCCAGACACATTCAGTACACTGGAATGACTTAAACTGAGCAAAACTAAAACCCAAAACAAACCTTCTGAAGGATCATCAAGTCTCTAGGGTAGCCATGACTTTTCAAAGACCAAGAAGTCATAAGCAAATTTCAGTACTAAACAACAAAGAAAAGTATTCTATAATGCTACTACTCATTTTAACTGACATATAAAACTTGCCTGTTAAATGGAACATCCTGAAGGATTCTGTCACTGCATAGTGAAAGAAGGCAATTCTTTTGCAGCTGTAAGAAATGAAAAATAATTACTTCAGACACATACATATTTCAGAATACTTTCTTGCTATGAATCACTGAACATATCCATGAGCTGTACTGAAAATAATCATAACAACAACAAATCTTTCCCTCCTGTATTTAAATTGATGCACCTCAAAATGAATTAAGCAGTTCTGAAAATGCCACAGGGCCAGCTGAATACTCAAGCCCCATTAAAGTTGAATGTGAACATTGAAAAAATTAAAAACAAAAGACTTTTAGAAACGACCAAAACATTTGACAGAATATGTATCTAGAACTGTGGCTGAAACTATAGATATGAATGGAAGGGATACCAAATCAGGGCTCATTTACCTCCTATTATTTAACCTTAAAAACTGATGTTTTCAATAGTGACAATTGCCTAAATCACACTATGCCATTTAAGCACTGTCCAAGTAGATGAGACTTTTCCAAAAGCCAGTAATATCACATGCTGTATCATTAATCATAACATCATTATCAGTAGCTTGATCAGTGATGAAACTCTCAAACTCCAACTGCAGTACTGATCATTCAGAAATGTGCTTAGTAATTAGAGACAAAGGATTTCCACACTGACTCTCTGAAGGATGCACGTTCCTTCCATGCATCAGTCATTCTTATCAAGCACAAATCTTTGAATAATCATAAGGAAGTAATTATTCACATATCTAAAGTTTGTCAGGAGAGATTTGTTTACGACAGGACAATATAACCACTGTGCATTTCTACTTCATCCTGTCCGGATAACGGTTCCATCAGGATAAAAATCATCATTTTGTCAGATATCCATCAGCATCACCTCTTGGTTTCAATCTTTCTTCTGTTTTGGTTAGAGGAGTGAGATGTTTGACGACCTTCTCAGCAAGATCACCTCTAACTGCAACCAACTCATACAAAAATATTTTCTGCTTCATTCATGAGTTTAATTTCATGGAATTATTTTCAAGAAGCCACATTATGGAAACACTAGCTCTACTAACTACAGTCCTATAAGGCAGGAAGTACAAAAGGAAACAGCATTTACTTAAAACCTGCACAAACACATCCGTATAAGTACTTGCTTACAGCTGCTCTTAAGATCATAAGATGTAAAGAAACCTTCTGTAAGATCCACAAGACAGAGAAACCAATAGAAAACAAAGAAATGTCATCTTTTACCTGTTGATGATTTGGGAAGTGTTCCATGGCCTTCAGGAGCAAGTGAGTGACATCGGCCAGAAGTCGCACAGGCATGCCTGCTGCTAAATCCTGCTTGGTCAGGTTAAAGACACATGCACTTGCTGCTAACTGCACAGGCAAGTTCAGGGGGTGATTTCTCATTCCAATAACCACAAGCTGAAATGCAAGAGTTTTGCCCCCATTAGTTACTTACACATTTGTGCACACACCCCAAGAGCAATTCTCTGTTGTTTAAGGCCACAAGAATGACTCACAGCACCTAATTTCTGCCTCCCTTTTACTTAAGTGAAAACCCCATCTGGTGTGATTTTAATTCTCAGGAGGAACACTTCCTTCTGCTCAGTGATTCAAAGCTGACAGCTTCTATTTCTCCAAGTCCTTTTGCAGTGGTTGCAGCAGCCTCTCAAAGGAGATGCTGCATAGAATGCAAAAGATTCCTAGAAAGATCCAGGGTTTGCTTTACACACTGGGATAAAAGAAAAAAATAAATTAAAAAAAAATCACCAAACCCTTTCAGAGAGGAATGAGATAGGACAGAGCTTCTGCAGTGTAATATATGCTGATTGTGATCTTACCCAAGAAAAATATTTTTCTTGTTGATTATTGATTACCAAATTTTGATATTGAAGACAATAAAATCAAGGTCGCTTGTTCAACTTCAAAGATGATAGCAAAACCAAAAATCATCTGTCCTACTGATGCCTCTTTTTATGGTTACAGTAAAGAAATTAAACCTTCTCTGGTGTTCTAGACACAGAAAGCCAGTGCCTAGAATCGATTTCTAAGGAAGTTTCTAGTATCTTCCAAGTTAGAGCCCAATAGAGAACACTAATGATACTTATTCACTTGATATGATACTGGAAAGTGGCAGTGGAAAGAAATATCACTGAATGCCTTCCTTATTATCACTGCTTTGTAAGCATTAGCAGGAGGCACTATTGTACCTGGGGAGTAAGACTACCCAGATCTTTGATTTGACCCAGTACAGATATGTTCTAATGACAGAATTCAGCACCTGAAGAAAACTTTGTATCATATTCAAAATTACATTTAAAAATTAATTTAGATACTACTAATTTTAGATACATTATTCTAGATCAATTTTGCCTAACATAAAAATGCTACAGAGCAAGTTCTACATTACTATTGTTTAAATAGTTGCTAATTTTTATCCAACATTACAATTTTAATCTTAAAAATCACAACCAAAAACTGTAAAAGCTGATAAAATAATTTAAACCAGGGTTTTGGGGATGGGCTCCTTTTAAGGAACAATGCACGACAATCGTCAAAACTATTATTTTACCTTTAAAATTTCAGGCTTTGTTTTTTCCATTACATGTGTCAGGCTGAATAAATGAAAGAGTGCTTCTCTCACAAAGAACGCCCGTTCACTGTAACGCTTCAGTGCTTCAGAAATCTGAGTTTCATTTGCTTCTCCTGACACCTGTGAACAGAGAAATAGACTTTAGTTCAAAGTGTCATCATTTTACTTTTAAAATTTTCTGGAAAGCTGCAGTTTTAAAGGTGGTGATATTTGTAGCCAAATCCTTCAGTAAGCAAATTATTATCTTTTAGCCATTACTTTCCTT